TTCAACTCTTTTGTTGCAAAATCGACACCGACCTTAAAATTAAAACACTTTTCAAAATATCTCAAAGCACCGCTTCAGATTTTATTTTGTATTTTTTCTATGTATTTTTTTTTTCTAAAAGAAGAAAAGTGTATTTTTTCTATAAATTAAAAAAGACTGTAGCAAAATTACACTCATAAATAGACTATATAATGCAGGGAAAGGGGGGAGGGGGCTGTGAAAGTAACTCAGCTTTGTTACTTGCACCGATTACAGCTAAGGGATGAAAGTACGCGCAAAACATGATTAGAGGAGGGCAGCAAAAAGATGCCAAAGTCTAATGCGCACCATCTTGTGGTACTCCAGTACAGAAAATTGTGAACGATGACATACCGTTGCTTTGTAATGCTGTGAGAACAAATTGTGCGCATAGCGATGCACGATTGATGATTTCCCAGTACCAACATCACCGATGATTAAAATTTTAAACAAAAGCTGTTGTGGCTGGCATTGTTGTTGCTGCTGCTGCTGCTGTTTTGTGTGTGACGAAGCCGAGTGGTTGATGGTGGTCAGTGGGTAACCGCTTGAAGATGTGGACGCCTGCAAAACCTGTTTTTTCGCACTTTTATTTAATGAAAGTTTAAAAAATTCGACAAACATGCCCAATTTCGCATTACAAAAATCGGTGGAACTTCTGGTTACACATGGGTAATTTCGTTTGTGAGTTTATAAGACAGCAGTGGAAATATTAATAATGACATGTATAAAATATGTATTTATGCATTAAAAAATTAACGGACCAGGAGTGCTCCGACTTATTAAATTGCATAAATTCCTATTCAGTGACCTTAGGTAAAAATTCATTTAAAATGGCCTTGCGTAACAGCGCCTCTGTTTAATTCGTTCTGCTTTGTAAAATCGCATAATAATTCCCTCATTTCATGTTCTTTTTTACTTTTGTTCTCAAGCTTTAAATGTATCCATTCATAAATCCGTTCGATTAAAAATGGCCGGGTTGTTGACTGT